CACACACACTCATACACACACACATACACTCTCTCTCTCTCTCTCACACACACACACGAGACGCTTGTTAAGCTTCATGTTCAGCTTCTGTCTGCATGCTTTGTCTTCAGTTTCATCTCCTTGTTTTGCCACGTCATTGAATTATTGTTTGTGTTCATCTTTTCATCTTAAAGCTAATGATGCCAAAAAAGGAATTTGAGTTGTTTAAGGTAAACGAGTGTGTGTGTGTGTGTTCAGTTTTTTTGATCTTCTGCATTAGTTCAGTTTATCTCCCTGTGTGTGTGTGTATGTGTGTGTGCCTGCCTCCTTAATCATATTTTGGGGACAAATTTGTATACAGAAGTGAGTTAAACCTCCCAAAACCTCCTTTTAGGAACGTCTTTATTTGTATAAATGGTATAAAAATAACATAGTTTTTCATAAATGGTCAATTGTAAAAATGAAGTATGTTTTTTGTTAGGGTTAGTGTGTTAGGGTTAGGTTATAGTATTTATAACTAGCTGTTTATAAAAACAATAGATGTCTATGGAATGACTCCATTTAGATACTGAAGTCAATGCATGTGTGTGTGTGTGTTTTATTTGCTGTGTGTGTGTGTGTGTGTGTTATTTGCTTTGTGTGTGAGTGTGTGTGTGTGTGTTTGTTGTTGAATTTCATTTTCATGTCACTTCATTTTTCTCTCAAGCAATTACTGGGCGAGTTAAACGAGGTAACTGGATTATTATGATTTACAGTCAGTGAAACCCTCATAATCATTCGTCTCAGTATGTTTTTCATAGAGATTTTTGACATACAGTGTATATTATCTGTCTGTGTAGAGGCTGGTTAAGCATAATTCCTCTTTAAGTTATTAATATAGTATAAATTATGAACTACTGTTGATCTGTGTGTTAGGAGCCGTTCACACAAAACGTGTCTTTGTGTCTAAAAACGTGAATGGTTTTTAAAAAAGCGCCTCCTGAGTCATGTTGCCGTCAAATAAAACAGTTGCCATGCCAACTTGCTACTGTAAACAACGCTTGCCCCGCCTCCGGGCTCTTCTGATTGGTCCACTGTTTTGGAACTGACATTGATGAGCATCACTGCGTTTGAAAGTTTAAACTCTTAACTTGACACGAGGCGCTCATGTGCGAGACGTGAGAACAATGTTCATACGTCCTGTGTAAACACATTCTGTGTGAACAGCCCCTTAGAGACATGAAATCAGATTCGTGGCTTTGATGAGCTCATGTGTGGCTCATGTGAGGCAAAAGTTGATCATGTGATTACTGCATGTCCAAAGCATGAGCTCTTCAGCATGTCCTGTGTGAACAGGAGGTGCATCAGTGCGGCACTGGTTTCATGTGGTCTTGATCTCAGCCATGTTCAGTATCTGACTGTGCTGTTTGTCCCATTCAGAAGCAGCGCTCAGATTACGTGCCCAAACCGGCGGTGACGGAACCCCCGCCCCCCCCGACGCCCCCGCCTCCTCCTGCCCCGCTGCAGATCCCCACCCCCCCACTGCCTCCCGCATCCACCCCGCTGCCAGCCGCCCAACATCAGGACTCGCCACCGGCTGACAGCCAGCAACACAACAACAACAGCAGCCAGAGCGACGGCGTGACCATGAGAGAGCATCAGAGAGAGAGAGCTGCGCCCGCCAACCGTACGCACACACACACACACACACACACACACACACACACACATTCACACTCTCTCACACATTCTCTC